TATATATAAAAATAACATTAAAAAAACTTTTAATTTTTGAAAATTCCAAAACATTCCTTTCTTTTTATTCCTCTTAATGAATGCTCATTTTCAGCTGTGTTCTGGCAGTTGATAGCTGTACATTGAATTAAACTGCTTGAATAAATAAAACTTTAAACATTTATCAGGTAACACTTTATAACTTTCATTAATAAATCATTAACAAACATTATGTAATGCTTAACGGATCATTAGTTCAAATATATTCACATATCTAGAAATGTGAAATAATGTGCTTGTTAATGTTTACTAATATATTTATTAAACATGACCTAATAATTAACATTTCATGTAAATTCAAATGCAAACAAATGTCATTTAAACTTCTAATTCATATGATCATGTACATCTTGAAAACCTACAAATGATTTTAACAGATGTTATACAATGATGAAAAGCTTTTGTTAATGCACAACTCCTTTGCTGCTATTGAGGTGTGATACGGGTAGGGTTAGGGAAAGGTTTGGTGGTATGGGTAGGTTTAAGGTTGGGTAAGGGGTCAACAAGTGTACAGGGGTCAATTTGATTACTATAAGGGAACACAATTCAGTCTGATTATATTGCATTGTTTTGATAAATGAAGTATTTTCTTGAAAATGTGTCCTCCTCCTGTTGATGTATGACTGAAGGAATATTCTGTTTAATGATACACAACAGTATACTAATATATGTGTCGAGGTGATAAAAACATGTTTTGCACCCAAATTACAATGTGTTATGTCTTATGCAAGCATTTAGCTAACCTTAACTAACCTCCCTTTACACAAACATTGTTAAAGTAGCTAAAAGTCCAATGCCAATAAAGATACAAAAAAATTAGTAAATGTTTATGAACATTTACAAATGATGAATAGTCTCCACTTTTGATTGGGTACTGCAAAAACATGAACAAATGATTAATGAATGATTTGTAAAGATGTGAAAATAGGGTGAATTCCCGGTCATTTTTAAGTCTTAAGTGTGGGATGCCCGGGTTCGGCTGACGAACAGGTTGGGGTGGTTCTCCGGAGGTCCAGGCGGTCCCCGGAGGAGAGTGTCCCAGGGAGGAGGTAGGGTGAGGTGGGTTGTGCAGGGTGATCGACGGCCCTTACCTGGCCGGCCACGGAGACTGAGCTCCAGGGGCTTCTTCCAGCGACGCCGAGCCCACGTTGCCTCGCCGTGGCGGGCACGAGAGTCAAATGAGTTCCCCTGTCCTGTCTCTCCGTGATAATGTAAGCTGAGCTCCAGGGGCCTTTTCGAGCGGTGCCAGGCCCACGTCGGAAACACCCGGTCGTGAGAAAAAGGGAGATGGAGGTTTGGGTCGACCGTGACTCGGTGTCCGAGGCACGCAGAGCCGGCAAACTCGGGTCGAAGTTGGGTCTCGGGGGGGGCCCCTCGGAACGCCCCCGGGCCCGAGGTCCCAGGCTCCCCCCCGGCGGAGATACGGGTCCCGACAGAAAAGGGTGCGCTTTGGCAATGAGGGTCCCGGAGGCTCGGGATCGTGGTGGTCCGAGGGGGCCCCCGGGGAGGAGCCACCACCTGGAGCCTGTGGGCGGAGTACCGAGGCTGTGGGACCTTCCACTTCCGAGATACGGCCACTTCCTGTCCAGCTTTGACGGGGCGTCGGTCGGACAGGAAGCCGAAGCCGGAGTTGAAAATCAGGGCGTCGGTAGGGCTCCAGGGGCCCTTTCCAACTCGACCTGCCTGGACTTCCGGGGCAGTCCGGTTCCGGAGTTGTAAGGGTTCCAAATCTAAATTTCAGGGGGCGCTATCTCCGGCGCCCGGGGGGCTATCGACTCGCGGGAGGCGGCGTCGGATAGGGGGCCTCGGGGTCTATCCTCGACCCGAGTTTGGCGGAGTCCGGCCTTGGCGAGAAATAGCCGGTCAAAATCTCAACTTTGGGGGGCCCCCAATCTCAATCCCCGGCCCCCAGGGGACTATCGACTCGGTTTCAAGTTTCAAGTTCCTAGGCCTCAGCGTTCCCGAGCAGGCGCGGGTCAAACTTCCACCCACCCCCTCGCCGGCGGCCTTCCCCGGGATAGAGAGGCCCAGACGGCCTCACTCTGCCGGGCATGGGAGTGAGATGACGCCCCCTACTCTGGTGCTCCATAACCATGAAAGCTGAGTTACAATATCCTTAAGCATCTGTAAGTTGAGCAGCATTTCACCTGGAATCTCTTCACAAATGTTGCCAAACATTCAAGATTTTGTAAGTCTGCTTACAAGACCAAATACAGGGCTGAATGTAAATGTGTGAATACAGGAGGAGCTCTGACATCACTGTAGTTCAGTCAGAGACTCAGAGAAAGTGAAACTAACTTGATCAACAACAATATGAACACCTGAAACCATCAAACTCTTTAAACAACAGAATATTGAGTCGTTCAAAGACCCTTGTGAACACATCTGATACTCACAGGTAAGTGCTAGAAATATAAGAGAGGTTGTCCTGAACAGGTTTCTAATGGCAGTGGTCTGGTTTAGTAGGGTTTATGTCAGACTGGACTGAGTTGAACAGAAGCAGGTTTAAGCGTCTCAAATACTCAGCTGCTTTAGTTGTTTACTGCACTGAAATCATATCAGAATTGAGTTAAAAGTATGTCATTTGATTGAACAAAGTTTAGTGTTTCTGTCATTTTGTCACGCGACTTAAAGACAAACAGGTAAGAAACAGGAAGTAAATGACCTGCAGACAAACTGAACACAATCCTGCTTCACTGCAGCTGAAAATTACTTTTACATTACACAAGATCAGAATAACTTATGATCATATAATATATTTTGTGGAAAGATGAATCTAATTTTTGATGAGTAATGAGAAAATATAGAGCTTGTTCTTTGTACTTTCTTTAAACAGCAGGTCATAATTCATATTGCTCAGTAAGTTTACGAGTCACTCACTTTGTTTCAAACGAATGATTGTGTTTCCATCAATTCTCACATTTGAACCAATTTAATATAAATATTGATTTAGCTGTCATGGTCCAATTTGGTCAAGTCTAAAAAAAAGGAAAACTGTCATTTTTCTTGAAAAGGCTTTAAGAGGGAAAGAACAATGGCAGAATCTTCACTAACAGCAAGAAAAACCAGGAGACGGAGTATCGACAGATTGCCTCCATGTAAGTCAATAACCCAGAAGAACACTTTGACTTTGACTTTTCTTTTATAATATTGAATATGTACAGTTCAGGAATGTAAAGCAGATCAAATCATTTCAGCTTAACATGAATAATTCTTGCACATATATTTATTTATTTATTTCGGTAAGTGGTTATGTAATGAGCTTCGCATTTATGTTCTGATCAGCTTGTCTGGGTTCATTTTACAATAATAACCAGCTGACTGTACATAGACCTCTGGATCTGTTCTGTAGAGATGATCAGACATGTGTGTGTTCGATCTGCACTGAGACAGACCACAAGAACCACAACACTGTTCCTATAGAAGAGGAGAGTGAAGAGAAGAAGGTAGAAGTTATTATTCTTTTAAAGGACTGATATCATGAGGAATCAGATTTTATTTCATGTTGTGAAATAAAAGCTCATTATGAAAACATATTGTGAGTTTAATCTGTGTTATGATAAACGTGTCTGTGTTGTTCTCTCTATAGACTGAACTGATGAAGACACAGAAAGACGTGCAGCTGATGATCCAGAACACAATCAAGAAGATTCAAGACATCAAACACTCAGCAGAAGTCAGAAAAGTGAGTTTAAAAAAATGTAATAAAATAAATGTAAATATTTATTATTGCAACAAACTTCAATGTTGAGGGAAGAAAGAGGCAAGAACCGCAGACATAATAACTAAATAAACAAACAATCAAACTAAATGAGTGACAGCCCCTCACAGATGACTATCAGACTTAAATATATAGCAACAACAATAAAACAACAACTAAAATGTGCAGGACCTGTTCTGCTCTCGTCCAGGGTTCAGGATGAAGTTTAACACTTCTTTTGAGGGATTCTGAAAACACATGTAGCCTATGTATGTAAAAAAAAAAAAAAGTATGAGCAATAATAACACAGATTTTTGCAACAGGGATTTTATACTGAACTGCTGGAGATGATGG